GCTCTCACACACACCGGATCATACATCTTCGTGTTACCCCCCCCCCGAGCCCACAGTGCTCCATACATCTTATAAGGAAGGCAGGCGGTAGGTGGGTAGGAGAAAAAAATGGACTAACAGATGTATGGAGGATAAAAATCATGTGACAGGAGAAAAGAAGGGAGTGTTTTTAAATTGAAACACTTAAAAGAATACAATAAATAAGTATATAAAATATATTATTGATCATTTTTTGCCATGAGTATTATTCAATTCATGCATTTACATGGTACCAGACACTATGCTGAAACCCTAAGAGAGACCTAGCTAACGGAAGCGCTACCATAAGGATGTATTGGCTTCCCATCTTGCTTCATCTCTACTGAAAATATTTAGCAACACTCTGAGAAACATGAAGGAAGCACTTCTCATATTTACCAAGGTGCTGAAGAATTATGAGTACTAGAACCAAAAGTTGGGAAACCCGCTGTACTTAAACTTTTGTGCTTTTCATGTACTCAAATCTATTTCTCAGTGTGACATCAAGGATGCTGCCATACAGAATACCCATTTCTAGGCTTTGAAACAAAGATCTACAATAGTCGTGGAAACATTTGTTCAGTGATCTTGATCTAAATATGCAAATTGTTTCTACACACTTGAAAGGGTGTAATAGATGAAAAATGACCTCTATCCAAATATAGAGGACCATAGAAATTTTAAAAGTTACTGATTTACTTAAATAAAATTAGTATAAGAGCAACTACAAACAAAAACAATATCCTTTAGTGGAGACTATTCTGTGATATACAAAGTAATTTTCTATGTATTGTCTTATTTTGATCTTCATAACATCTCTCTTAAGAAAAACTGATAGTGTATGTCTACAGTTCACACATATAAAAAGTAACACACTGAGTAGATACTTTGACCCACGTCTCCCAACCAGTAAGTAACAAAACTGGAACTCTTCTTCATAGTGTGTTTTCTGCCATCCCAAACTAACTCAACATGCCACAAACAGTGCAATTCATTAAAACTGAGTGTATTTCTATTTAAAGCGACAGGCAAGCAAACTACATACAAAATGAGTTGCAAGTAGCCTTATGAAAATTCTGCCTGGAATATTATAAATCCTTCCAAATAGAACAATACTTTCCTTATATCCTCCCTGGTTATTAAAATACTACATATTCCCTAGCTCCAGCTCACAACAAACAAGAAGAAAGCTTTAATCTTTGAATACATAAATGCCAGAATCTGACCTACATTCTCCTCATTGACTTCAGTTCTTACAAAAGTCTTATGAGGTAGGTTTGCTATCATCACCCTCGTTGTCATTAGTATATAGATGGGGAAACAAGGAGGCATAAAGAGGTTAAGTAACTTGTCCATTACCACTTGACTAGAAATTGGTTCCGTGACTCTTAACAACGGTATGAGGTGGTCTCTTCAAGAAGAAGCCTCTTCACCCATTCCAACCTCTCCCCTATTACATTCAACCAGTGATAAGGCGAGAATCTCTGATTTAGATTAGTGATTTCAGCTCTTTTTGTGCACATCTAAGCGATATCGGTCTCGTCGACCAGTGACTGCTCTTCATCTTCAAAGTGTGGGAGGACCCGTATATCCAGTGCCTCAGAAACTGGCACAGCATATGAGGCGACAATTACTGAGAGTCTACTATGGGTCTGGTGTTACGCTAAAGTGCTTTTCTCTATATGTGCACGCTGTAAATGTTAACATTGCTCTCTTTTCTGGCCTAATGATAGGCTGGATCCAAAGCCATTGTTTTGGAAATTAAGCTGGGCAGTGGAAAACGTTTTTCATGAAGGCAAGGACTGTTACATCACTGGGTATAGAAAGCTGTCATAAAGAACTATCGCTCTGGCCCTTGAAGAAGTCCAGATACACACAGGAAGTGCAGAAGGGCAGTCTCAGTAAGAAGACTGAGGTTGTAAGCTGGACATCCCATCCACAGAGAGATTCCCTTTCCAGAAAAACTAATACTTGAAGCACAAGTACATTAAAAGTTTATATAAGTGCTCTCCCTGAATCCTTTCAAATATTAAGAATTTTTTACCTATTTAAAAAAATTAATTGATAAAAACCTGCATTCAAACATAACTCTTTTTTTTTTTTTTTTTTTTTTTTTTGGGGTCTCACCCACTGGAAACAACTTCTTTTTTTTTTTTTTTTTGAATTGTTTATGCTGTTACAGTTGTTCTATTCCCCCCTTCATTCCCCTCCACCCTGCCCCCCCAACCCCCCGATTACCCCCCCTTTAGCTTATGTCCATGTGTCTCAAGTCCTTTAGGTTCTGTATTTCCCATACTATTCTTGCCCCCCCCATCTATTTTCTATCTACTGTCTATGCTACTTGTTTTCTGTACCTTCTCTCCCCGTCTTCTACTCCCACTCCCCCTGTTGCTAACCCTACTTGAGCTCTTCATTTCTATGTTTCCACTCCTGATCTAGCTGTCCTTTTAGTTTGCTTTCGTTTTAGGTGTGGTTGTTGATACCTGTGAGCTTGTTGTCCTTTCACTGTTCATGTTTCTTTAACTTCTTTTTCTTAGATAAGTCCCTTTAACATTTCATATAATAAGGGCTTGGTGATGATGAACTCCTTGAATTTGGTCTTATCTGAGAAGCACCTTATCTGTCCTTCCGTTCTAAATGAAAGTTTTGCTGGGTAGAGCAATCTTGGTTGTAGGTCTTTAGTTTTCATGACTTGGAATATTTCTTTCCAGCCCCTTCTTGCCTGTAAGGTCTCTTTTGAGAAATCTGCTGACAGCCTGATGGGGACTCCTTTGTAGGTGATTGTCCCCTTAGCTCTTGCTGCTTCCAGGATTCTCTCCTTCGTTTTAATTTTGGCTAATGTAATTATGATATGCCTTGGTGTGTTCCTTCTTGAGTCCAACTTTTTTGGTACTCTCTGGGCTTCTTGGATTTCTTGGAAGTCTGTTTCCTTTGCCAGATTGGGGAAATTTTCTTTTATTATTTGTTCAAATAGTTTTTCCACTGGTGGTTGTGTCTTTCCCCCTTCTGGTACCCCTATAATTCGGATATTGGAGCGTTTATAGATGTCCTGGAAGTTCCTAAGCTTCTCCTCATTTTTCTGAATTCTTATTTCTTCATTCCTTTCTGATTGATCATTTTTTCTTCCTTCTGGTTTACTCCATTGAGTTGAGTCCCAGTTTTTTTTTCATCTCTATGGGTTTCCTGTGGAATTCCATTCATTTCCCTTAATTTAGCCTTCATATGTTTCTCTAATTTGTGGCTATAGTCCACCAGATCTGTGAGGAAGCTGACGACCAGTGTTTTAAACTGTGCGTCTGAGAGATTTGCTATTTCTTCGTCACTTAGATTTATCTCCGGGACTTTGAGGTCCCCCTGCGACATTTTTGGTCTGTTCTGGCCCTTTAAGTGAGAGAAGCGGCGCCTTGGAGTCCCAGGTCGCTGGGTTGTGACGCTGTATGTGGGGGCGTGGTCAGAGCGGGGGGGGGGGGAAATGGCGCCGCCGCCGGTCCCCGCTCACTCCCTCACCCGCGCGTAACCGGGCACCCACAGTCAACTCGCTGCCACCGCCTCCCCACTGACTCCTCCGTAGTCACTCACCCGGTGGGCTGCTCACTAGGTCCAATCCTGGGTTTGGAACCCGTGCGTCTGGATTCGCGCGTCTGGGTTCCGCACCCGGGCCGGGTCGAACAAGTTCTCCTTTGTAACTCCTCAACCCGCCGCCGCCGGTTTGCCTCTTACCGGCCGGGCCGGAGAATTTGCTGTTTGCGGACTTCCGAAAAGTCGCGCGTCTGGGTCCCGCGCCCGCGCCCGGGTCGAACGAGTTCTCCTTTGTAACTCCTCAACCCGCCGCCGCCGGTTTGCCTCTTACCGGCCGGGCCGGAGAATCTGCTGTCTGCGGACCTCCGAAAAGTTCAGTTTTCCGTGTTCTGGTTGTGTTTTCCGATGCTAATATTTAGTTGTCCTTAAACTTGGTTGTGAGAGGAGGCAGGCACATCCACCTTAATCCTCCATCTTGGCGGAAGTCTGGCCAAACATAACTCTTAAGAAATCCACATAAGCAAAGCAAAGTACACCAGCCTGCCCTGCTAAAACTGCAATTTGGAGAAATTTGATTTCAAAATAATGCTAACCCATCCCTTAATTCAGTAAGAACTGATAAGAACTATCTTGCATACTCTGTATTAAATAAAGTAGATTTAAAGTGAAGAAGAAAATCTCCCTTCACTACAGAACTCAAAGTCTAGTCAACACAACTGATCCCATAGAAACCAGCCATTTTTTAAAATATAGCAATGACTATTTCCAACTCACTAGAGCAGGTTCAAATGACAGAGAAATGGTCACATAAAATATTTGACATTGGATTGGAAAAAGAGACAACTTTTACAAAAGATGTATATCTCTGTGTGTATGTAAACAGACACATATATTCATATTATATGTCTTATAAAAGATGTAAGATGTATATGTAGTTTTTGTGTGAGTTATATATATATATATATGTACATTAATATAATATATATAATAACATCAAGTTCCTTTACCAAAGTAAATATATTCAGCACCAATGGACTTCAGAGAAAGGATAGAGATCCAGGATGTCTGCTGAACCTAATAAATTATCCAGCTAGACCTTATCTTTCTTCTCCTAATGATCTTCAAATTCCTAGCAGATTAATGTGTTACAACTAAACAAGAAAGATGTGGAGCTATCAACAGTAACAGAGAAGGGAAAAGGTGGGAAGTAGCAAATCTACAACTAAAGCAGAATTCTGGGTTTCACTGTACATTCCACAGCCAATATGAATGATATTGATTTTCAGATAATCTGCTCTTTTATATCACTCATACCTCCTTTCCTCTCTATTAGTGAAGAGAACCCAATTGTGTGTGCATTTGCTTGATTCCACTGAGAGGGCCGAATCACCACTTGGAATATCAATCATTCTTTTAAGATTAGTCTCTACTAAAAGCTTGCAATGAAATGATAATGCACTAACCTGTCTCCAGTTAATGGCAAAATAATGGTTGCTTGAGAAGAAAACACAATGAAAGATAATCTCATTTGAGGGCTGCAAAATAAGAAGAGAGGCAGTTAAAACATTTTTAAAAGAAATATCAATACAGTACAAATGTATAGCTAGGGAGTCTCATTTAAAATCAGTCTCACTGAATGGTCCAGGCTTCTTTTAAATGGTACCCTCTAAGCAGATACACTAACTCTCCTTAATGTTACTGCATAAGTCATTTTGGATTTAGTCAATGTGTCTCAGCACTCAAGCACTCCTCCATTACCCGTGAGGCCATTTAGGAGGAGACTAACTAGAAAAACGAATTCTAGGCCAAGGTAATTTTTTTTGTAGAAATTGCTTGATGTTTTGCCTCATTTCCTTAAAGGCGACCAAACATGGCAGAATGATTATTGCTAGCAATATCTAGGACTAGGGAGTAGTCGGTTTGATTTAATTACAACTCTGATATGAATTCATACAAAAGTTCTCCCGAAGTAAGAATACTTAGCGTGCCATGGACAATGTGAAAGAGACCAGCAGATCCTCCTATTCTGATGAGGCATTTTCAATTTTCCAGGTCTCAGACATCATATTTCCCCTTGTCAACAGTTGCCCCAGTTAGCCACATCTTTGAAACTTGAGGTATTTATGTTGCAGAGTGGTTCTTATTTTAAAGACACTTTTGCAACTATTACTAAGATTGAAATCTGCAGATATGAAACTAAGATCTATAAAGTGAAGATCAGAATGATCTCACAAAGGCTTATACATATTTTGAAAGTCATTCCCTTTAGCAGCTACCCCTCATTCACTTCCTACAATGTATAGTTAGTAACCAAGCAACTAAACTTGGGCCAGAAAACAATATATTACAGAATTCCAACTTGCAAGCCAGACCAAATAAGAACCCGGCTTCATGAAAATGTTCTATTGAAATGATCCATTGCTTTCGGGCAAATTCTGTGATGCTCTCTGCACACTCTTGGGTAAAATCAGAAAATTTATAAACAACAGTCTCTTCTGCCTTTGACATGTAAGGATATAAAGCCCTGTTTACTTTTCTCTCCTAGAAAGTTTTACCTCAGACCCTATCCAGAAGTGAGAGTGTTATACTTGGCTTCTTAAACAGAAGACTGATGATTGAACATGGACAAGCATACATTTTTATAGGGGTAAGTTTACTGCTGCCAATAAATGAAAGCAAGGATTGCCTAGGCCTCTACAGATTGTTGAAGTTACTTGTAACATGACTTTCAAAATGTTTTGATCATCCAAGCCTGTTTTACAGACAACATTTGGGCTAACAAGACTGAAAGAAGCAATATTTAATGATACAGCTCTTTTTTTTGTGTCCTTTCCATTATCTTGATAAACTTGCATTTGCTCATTGCATTTTTCTCTAAAAAAGCAAAATGAAAGGGAAAAAAAGCCTCAAAAGCCTGGTATCTTAGTGCTAATTTTAAACAGGGATGCCACTAATTCCTAGTTACTTCTAAATAAGAGAGTAAGCTGGATTTCATAGTAGCTATGCTTTTTATAGGAGGGAAGAAAGTCAGTCTTTCCCAGTAAGGCTTATTGCATATATAGAACAGTTAAATTTTAAACCGGCCACACACCCACACATTGTATCAACACAAGTCATTTCTTTAAACATACACACAAGTGCCTTTGCTGGTAGTAGTTATTAACACATGTTCATCTGAAGTTTACCAATACTTTTTTTTAATGAGGACCTCTACAGTGCTAAGAATTATATGGAAAGAAAAATATATTATGGATACTATTAGCATAAAAATTGTTAATGTGACAAATTATGAGAAAGCATAACTGAAATTTAAAACAGATGAAAATTCAAAAAGGAAAGCCATTTCGAATAGTATTTAAAAATGCTTCCCCAAGAGCTTGGGCCAAGTTTCTGGGGTCCAGATGAAATGAGCCCTCAACAACTGAAGGGCTGTCCTAATAACAGCGTATGTGTAATAATGATCTGGAGGCACATTAAAGTCAACATTTCAGTGAGGGCTTTTCCTGCAAATGGTCTCACAAAAGGGACACCCTACATTTTAGTCTACTTCCCTCCTCCTCAAACTCCAGTTGCTAGAAAGTAAAGTGAGAGAAAATACCTCACAAATCTGTCCGTGAGTTGCTGGACAAAATCGTAAATTTCAATCCAGTTATTTGCCACACTCCCAGACCTGAGAAAATGAAATTGAACAAATAAGAAAAAGAAACATTTACATGGGGTTACCCTGGCCTCCTCTAGATGCAGAGTAACAATGTCAGTAACTGAAACTTAGGTGCTCGAAGAATCACGGAATTGGGGACCACCTGTCTGCTAATTGTTTGGAGTAGGACTCCCGCTCTTTAAAATAAACACTGCCTTCTTCTGAAGGAAATGCAGACCACACAGAGTATGTTAACCTTAAACATTTCCTAGGATAAAACCAGGCAAACTTCAGCCAGCATCACGGAGTGAAGACAGAGAGCCTGAGAAACAGTCTTGTCCGAGTTCTAGGGACACAGAAGGGTATTCCCAGCGGTTGCACTTCCATTTCTCAAAGGCCCTCGACTGGGCAAGCAGTGACTACCCCACCTCCCGCAAGAGTCCAGCCCTTTGGGGCTTTCGTCACCAATCCCAACCAGCAAAGATCGGAGTGCACTAGAATTGTGCACAGAGACACTAAAAGGGTATCCATTCACGGATTTCTAACACCCCTCCCCAGGGCGCGCACGCAGCTCGGATTGCCCGGCCACAGCTCATCCAATGCAACCCTCACCAGAAGACACGACCTCCCTCTCTCACTCACTTGTCCAGGACGAAGTAGAGATCAAAGGCTCCTCGGCAGGAGGGCTGCTCCTGCGCGTTCAGCAGCACCCCCGGGCCACTAAGCGCCAGCAGCCACAGCCCGGGGACTAGCCAGCTCCCCAGACTGCGGGTCAGGGACAGCCGCTCCACCATCCTGTGGCCAGGGGCCTGCGACTCGGTTCTGCTCACGGTCCCCTCGGCTCGACTCGGTGGGACACTACGGTGCTAGGAGTTACCAGGGACCCTGGGGTGGGGACTGCGAGCAGCTAGGGCGCCGGGGCCTGGGTCAGCGTAACCCACTAACTGACAGAGGGAGGAAAAAAGGGTGGGAGGGAGGTCCTAGGAGGACAAAGGGAGACTCTGCAACCTCCGCAGCTGCTGCCGGAACTCTTGACGAATCCCAGTGGAAGAGCGATCCAGTCCTTCCCCGCTGGATTCCGGAGAGTTCCTGCACACAAGGAGGGCCCACGGCGACAGCTCGCAAAACAAGTTCCTCCCTGTCCTCTAGCCGAGCGCCTAGCGTCTGCCTCAGACCCGGACCGAGAGCCCCATTCCTCCGGGTGGACTGAAGTCCGGCTGCTGCAGGGCGCTGCGGGGAGGACGCCCCCGGAACGCGGCGACAGCCGCTCAAACTTTGAGTGGAGGTCCCTGTCCTCTGGTTCCCTTCCTCCGGCGGCCCAACTGCCCCAGCGCTCCAAACTTTTCTCCTTGTGCTGGGCTCTGGCACCGCGCAGCCGGGCGGTCCCCTTTAGGGGAGGAGGCTGAGCGTGCTCCGGGCTAGTGGCTGGGATCAGCCACTGCAACCCCAGCCAAGAGCAAGATCAGCCCAAATCTCTGAGTGTGGGCGGGGCCTGATCCGAAGTGAGCGAGCCACACAGGCACACTTGCGAGTTCGTGCCGAGTTGGAAACGACTAACGCTCGCCAAATTTTGGAAAGAGGAGGAGTTTAGAAAAGCAAATGTCCTGTAGAAACTAAACGTACCCATGTATCGCACAGGCCTGGTCTATTTCAGCGCTGTGTGGCTGAGAGACCAAAGACTAGCAATTCCACGGGAAGTGATAGCCTGCTTACTCCGCCCCACCCCCCATTACCACAAGCAAAACACGCTTTTTACTTGCCCAACCTCTACCTAGGAAGGCAACTTCTTCTTTTTCTATTATAAACCCACGTTGTACTTTCATCTCACCAAGCCAAGGAAAGGTGGTAGAGAGGGTAAGAGGGGGGAGACAGAAATCTTTAGAAGTGAACAGTTGAACTTCGAAATATTTATTTCCGCTGTCATTTACCCCAAGCTCCAGATATTAAGAATTTCATCTTGGGGCAAGCCAGGCTGCCTTTGCCAAACTTGAGCAGGAGCTGAAGTTTGCATGCATTCAAACACTCTGTGTACTGAATCTACACCCCCTCCCACCTCTGTCCTCTCCACCACTTCCACCTCAGACTTTTCCTGCCTTCTCGTTGAAACTAGCTTTTAGAACTTATCATTATTGACAGTGATATGAGGTGTGGTCTCCTCCTTTGTCTTTTTTATTGATTACGTTATTATAATTGCCCCAATTTTTCTTTGTTTGCCCCCTGCCTCAGCCAGATACCCCCCTTCCCTTTAGCAATCACCCCCACTTTATGTCCATGCGTTGTATGTGTGAGTTCTTTGACTTCTCCATTTCCTATGCTTTTCTTAACATCCTCCTGTCTACTTTGTTCCTACCAATATGCTTCTTAATCCCTATGCCATTTCCCCATTCTCCCCCTTCTCCCCCCCAGCTGATAACCCTCCAAATGATCTCCATATCTGTGATTCTGTTCCTGCTCTGGCCTTTGCTCAGTTTGTTGGGGTTTTTTGTTCTTAGTCTTGTTTTTAGATCCAGTTGTTGATAGCTGTGAATTTGTTGCCATTTTAATGTTAATGGTTTTGATCATATTCTTTTTCCTAAATAAGTCCCTTTAATACTTCCCGTAATAATGGCTTGGTGATGATGAACTCCTTTAGCTTTACCTTGTATGGGAAACACTTTATCTGCCCTTGCATTCTAAATGATAGCTCTGCTGGTTAGATTAATCTAGGTTGTAGATCCTTGTTTTTCATCATTTTGAATACTTCTTGCCAGTCCCTCTTGCCCACAAAGTTTGTTTTGAGAAATCAGCTGGTAGTCTTATGGGAACTCCTTTGTAGGGAACTCTCTGCTTTTCTTTTGCTGCTTTTAAGATTCTCTCTTTATGTTTAACCTTTGACCTTTGAATTATGACATGCCCTGGTGTGATCCTCTTTGTGTCTAATTTGTTTGGGACCCTCTGTGCTTCTTAGACTTGTCTGTCTATTTCCTTCCCCAAATGAGGGAATTTTTCCCCTAGACTTATTGTTTATCTTCTGGGACTCCACAAATTGATCTAAAAAACAGTCTTATCTTAGACCCAAAGCAAAGCAGAATACCTTGAACTAAAATTTGTTCTTCCTCAAAATGCCCAGGCCTTCCTCAAGTTCACCCACTCAGTTTCTCTTTCCTGGTTACAAGGCCGGCAGAGGTGACTGACATACTAAAGCAGGTCACCATTCCTTTGTTTGTTTGGGTAAAGAATTCAGCCCATTTCTGGAACTCTCTTCATTTCACTCACTTGCACGTATAATATCATCAGCCAAGCAGGGAAATGGCCTCTCACAGCAGAGACCAATAATTGATAATTGTATAATTATCAGAATCACTTTCATCTAATCGGCGGGAAGGGCTTTAGTTACTGGACATTTAGTTACCACCCTGATCTGTCCCAGATGAGGGATTTCCAGAGACTTTCAATGCTAAAATTGGGGCAGTCCCTGGGATAGTCCCTGACGAAGAAGGCTCTTGGTCACTGTACTTCCAAGCACTGACAAGGGCAGAGTTGAAATGTCACCACACTATGAAGAAGGAGCAGTCACAACAGCAGTGCTTTCTCCCCTCCTCTGTCAGGTGAGAGGTCTGGGGCATTGTGAGAGCTGGACACTAGCCAGGTTAAGGGTTCAAAGTTACTCTTGTACCACAGCAGACATGCTGGAACCCTGTCTAACCTTCAGCTTTAAATCGTGAATCGCATAGGGAATGTAGACTTTTCAGCACAGAAAGAGAAAAAAGAAAAGGGCGGGGGGATTAGGGAGGGAAAGGAATAAGAGGAAGGGGGAGGAAGGAAGGGGCTAAATTACACTGTAGTATTTAGACAAATAAATCTAAAATATTTCTCTTTTATGAAATTAGCTAGATGTCTGCTGAAGTATTTTGCTTCACAATCCATGCAAGCTCCTACTCTTTGAAGATTATTCTTTGTATCAAACTAAACTTCAAATTCAATGTCAGAATTTATCATCTCATTTAAGAAAATAAGCTGCTAAATACAAAACCCTTTTAAACCTTGTTTGATGCAGTTACAATAGTTTCTGACGGACACCTGATGACTGAACGCGTCCAGCGGGCCCTCTGTCACCATCTATTCCGCCTGCAGAGCTCCCATGAACTTCATGTTAAATCGTATTTAGTTATTTCTCTACTAGGCTTTATTTAACAAATACTTATGGATACCTACTATGTATCTGGTAATGTTCTAAGCACAAGTGTTATACCCCCTGCTCTCAGGAGTTCACCTTTCCAATATCATATCATTAATCTATTTCTATCTCCCCGACCCCGACAAATGACAAACAGGAGGGGCAAATAAGCAACAATAATAAACGTAGGAAAATAAAACAAAACAAATGTATCCTTTATGTGTAGAAAGTCATATGATCTGTATGATTTACAAGCAGGTAATTTTGCATCACACCCACAGTGATAAACGCGACTCTGCTGGACGGGGCACCTGGAGGTGACTCAGAGTCACATCACCTGTAGAGTCATTCGTCACATCTCTGCAGTGACTCAGGGGAGGGAAATGCGTCTTCAGCACCTATGGGAAATAAGGCTTATTTGAACTTTTATCAGGTACAGTAACTAAAGAACTAGGCTTCCCCGATGTCTGAGTGACTTCCTGAGAGGAAACAGTATGCTTTGGGAAGGTGCAATTATTTCTTTTCTTTCTTTTTTTAAAAAAGATTTTATTTTTATTTATATTTAGAGAGAGAGGAAGGAAAGGAGAGAAACATCAGTGTGTGGTTGCCTCTTGTGTGCCCCCAAGTGGAGACTTGGCCTGCAACCCAGGCATGTGCCCTGACTGGGAATCGAACCAGTGACACTTTGGTTCGCAGCCTGCGCTCAATCCACTGAGCTACGCCAGCCAGGGCTATATTTTTAAATTAATATCTCCATGTACAACAACAGAGATGTCAGCCAATGGCAGAATGATTACCAACACCTGCATTTGGGATCGAATGTGTTTTAAATCCAGTTTCCCGGAAACAGACCTGAGACTCCGAGGTCTACACGCAGGAGGGATTTGGAGCATGCCCTCGGGAGCTCACACTCTGACAGTGAGAGGAGCAGGAATGGTCAGAGGGGACACTGAGCATGATTGGGGTTGCAAAGGAGTCCCCAGCCAACCCTCGGGGTAGCTCCTGGAGGTGGAATGGTCCTTCACAATTGTCCCAATTTGAGTGAGAGGATGGGGCCAGATTTTGTGTCCCCTCATGGACCAGTCATTAAGTGCGGGCCAACTGTTTACAGGGAGCACAACCTAGGGCAAGGCAGCTTGCTTTCACTCAGGAGGAACGCAGTGGGGAGCTGTCAGCAGCCAAACTCCTGGCTACAGGGAAGGCGTGCTTCATTCCTGAAGGAGGAATTGGGGGCAAACTGCCGTAAAATCTAGAACATCTGCAGAAAGCCAAGATACCTGGCAGCTTGTTTGACGAAAGTCACATCTCACATGCAATGCCAGACCACCACTAACCAGGTCGGACTCAGAATGGCGTTCTGGAATGATGAAGTCCTAACCGCACTGTCACTGCATCCCCTCCTCTCGTGCCCTCTGTGGTGGACCTGGTCCAGGTCAGTTTCTCAGTTCTCAGTGGACTTATTCCAATAGTATTCTGTCTTCCCGCATCTCCTACACACTCGGCACAATTTATTTTTCTGAAAGATAGAAGCCAATCACCTACCTAATACCTACCGATGGGGCATTATTCCCTGATAATTTAGGCCCTCCACAGTAGCATCACAAATTAGCACTGTATTCTCACCTCTCACATGTTAAGTCCCCTCATGTATTCTATGCTCTGGAGAAACCAGGATAGTCACTACATCCCTCACATTCACACACAATTATACCTTTGGGTCTTATCTCATTTTGTACCCCATTTCCCTGATACCACATTCTACATGTCAAATCCTATCTCCCATTTCTCTTCCCTTCCATTGCCTTAATGAACGATTCAGGTCAAAAGCCACTAGGTAGAGCCAAGAAATGGTGTCAGGGTGGAGAGGAGTTATAGTCAATCGTCCAGTACAGGGGTGTCAGAAGCCAAGCAGACAGAGGAGTGTCCCCCTGGTACAGGGAGAGACATCCTGGCTTGGGTCTTGAAGTCCAAAAAGGGTAAGAGTGATGTCCACATGAGAAAGCTGTGGCCCAACATGAGGAGTCAAAAAACAAGCCAGGTGAGGAGGATACACGTGTGTGTGCATGCGTGTAGAGGCAGCACTGCCCAGTGTGTGGTTTTCAAGCTTCAGTGAGGGGTGGAGGACCTCTTCCTGTGGGAAGCTCATCATGGAGTAGCTGGAGCCCAAGCATGGACTTCTGTGCGGGGGAACCACCCCATGGAAGGTGTCAGAGCATGAGCAGGAAGAGAAGAGTCTGCTCTGGAATGTGCACTGTCCAAGATGTTGGAGCAAGAGTGGAGCAAACGGG